AAAATTCCAAAAAATCAGAGGTGGCCAGTAATGTAAACTTGTTCCAAATAATTATGTTAACCTTTAATATGAATAATTTTTTCGATATTATATTCTTGCAATACAATAGAAATTCGATCCACTTATCGATTTTTCACCGATGAGTTCATCATTTTGCATAAAGGACAATGATCAGTATAAATTATAATAGATCTACCAGGTAGATAAGATCGCATTCGTTGAAAGCATAACCATATGGTTAATGCTTCTAATTCGATAGGATCATATTGTCGTTGAGTAGAAGATGTAACTTGAGAATGATAATATAAATTTTTTATTTCACCATTAATATTTTGTTGTAATATATCACCAATACCAATTTCTGATGCATCCGTTGTTAATATAACAGGATAATTATCATCTGGAAAATCAAAAAATAATGGAGAAGTAATTAATAATTATTTCAATTGTGAAAACGCTTGAGATTGAGAACCACCCCATTCGAATTTGTGTCAATTTGTTTTTGTTAAGCTTGTTACAGCATGAATAGGTGCAGCAATGGTTGCAAATTTGGGTATAAATTTACGATACCACGAAAGAGCACCGAGAAATTTATTTGCTTCAGCTAATTTAGTAGGTTGTCGTAATTTAAAAATTGCTTGAATTTTTTCATTGGTTCGCTTAACACCATGTTCAGATATCGTATGAGATAAATAAGCGATTTGTTGATGAAAAATACTACATTTGACCGGCTTAAGTTGAAAATTATGTTTGGATAAAGCAGATAATACTTGTGTAAGATGATTGAGATGTTTTTCAAATGAACGAGAACACACCACGATATCATTAATATAAACCAACGAGAATTGCCGACATGTAATTACTTGAATATAAGCGTAGATTATTACCGAGGTACTTACAATGGAGGTATTTGTATTATGACCGAACTACACTTGATATTTTGGCGCCAAACGAAAGCTTTCACTGCCAAACTAACAAGGTTAAAATATTAGCGACCATTAGCTTGCCTAGCAGCAGATATTCAATTTTTACGGTACTGATGGTTGGGTATATAGAAACTTTAGGATTATTTACTTTCATTTTTTATGCAATTAACTGAGCATTTCAATAGTAGGTTTCGAGAATCTGTCTGAGATTTATCTAAAGTACATATTAAGATCAAATTAGTTTTGATATCTCCTAGAAATTAAGTAGTATCACTATAAATAAACATCAGCGAGCATTTATCAAAATCTTTAAATCATCAAGAGTTTCGATTATATTTCAACTGAAAACAATAGATCGCATAATATGTTATTTTATCAAATGTACTATAGATGTTGATGTAGACTTTCAATTAAATGATAGTAACAAAGAGTTTTTTCACATCAAGCATACTTTAATAGTGTTCGTTCATTGCAATTGTTAATTGAACAGTACAGATCATAAAATTAAAAGCAAACATCTGTTGGTTTTTCAATTTGTCCAATTATTTCATTTATTATTGGAGCTGGTATAAATCCACTCTTGATGAGATTTTTAAATTGTGGAGCTGATAATTGATTATGAATAATAGAATGGATGGTGATGAAATATTGACGATCATTTGTAGCCATTTCTGTTTGATTGATATGAACATAATGTTCAATTTTTTCATGAATAAATCGCCGTGAGTGAAATAAAGAAAGATCTTATGATTGAATATAACCGGTTGATCCTTTAGGAAAAATCAATAATTAATTGTATTGGTTAGGAAATACTGCTCTAAATTTTGTTAGATCAGCTTGAGTTTTCCGAGAATCAAAGAAAAGAAGAAATTTATTACCAACCAAAGGATGCAGAACTTCATTTAAAAAAAGTGTGATGTTTTTCACCACTATTTTTTCCTGATTTTGAAACTCTTACTACAACATTTGGTAGCACAATTAAATCTTTTTCTGCACTCTTTTACCGAATCCCTTTTCTTTCTCTTGAAGGATGAGAAAGAATTTGCCTAATAAATGGCCATCAGCCGATGTAACAGGTTGTACTTTATAAGAGTATGTTAAGTTATGTTTCTTTTTAACAACCATTTCTGTTGTTCGTTCACTAGTAAAAGAAAGAGTTCTTGGTGAGACATATTCTTGTTAAAATGAACAGTG